ATTTCTTTCACTGTTGGGCCTGATCCATTAAGTGAGATTGAAACTCTTGAACATGAAGGCAGTGGAAATAGTGCAAGATAAAATAGACACTGCAGTTTGTGGTACCTATGTGCCATTTGTGCAGTAATATGAATCCCAAAGTTTTTAGTGTGTAAGGGCTGGAAACAGTTGAATTCTTTTTTTTTAATTGAGGAAGCTTGCTTGGCTCCAAAGAGTAATTGATAGTAGAGACAGCATCAGGAAGTTCATTTGTTGCTTCCTGTGGTTATTGATTCACTGAATCCACCCTAAAATAGAAAACTAATATATGTTCTGGAATTGTCGGTGATGGAGTTTTTAACTTAAATGAAGGTTTCCCTCTTGTGCTAATGATGCAATGAACCCCTTGCCTAATCCTTTCCCAATCTCCCTCTCCTTTGTCTCTCCATACTTGTGTGCTGTGAGCCAGAACTATGACTTGGGAGAATGACAGTGGATGTCGGCTCAGTTTGGTGGCTGGCAGCTGCTGGCATTTGGTGTCTAGGTTTTTGTCTAGATTTTGATGCCTAGTCAGATACCAGATTTGGGTGGAAAAGGACAGATAAACCTACTAACATGGAAAATTGAGAGGAATGAGGTCGCCTGCTGTAAGCTGTATGTTCATTTACGTATTGCTACCTTGTGGTGTCTGACTTTTCTTTACTGAGTGTGCCTGAAATCTAAGCTGTGTATAATTTTTATTGTCTGTGGGATCATCATCTCCAGACCGTGGGTGTTATTGTGGTGTAATAAACAGCAATGGTATGTGCCAGCCCATGCCTTGCAGGGCTCATGATAACCTCAAAAACTACAGCAAAGTTTAACAAGTCTGCTTTGTGATTTCCATTTAAGTTTGGAGATTTTTTCTTTATCTGTAAATATCTTTGTATGAAAAGACTTCTGATAACAGCACTTAATCTAGCAAAGGAAGGTATTGCAAGACCAGAGGAGATGACAGAACTACCCAAATCTATGCTAGGAAAAAGTCCTTCACTTAATTGTTAGACCTGCATATCTTGCATTGAAATGCACTGGATCCAGAGTTACTTTCTGAAGAATTGTTCAACCCAACCAAACCTCATAGGTTAGTGCCCTGAGGTGAAATATTTTGGCCTCTCTTCTGCCAGGACTGAAACCACAGATTCTTAATGAGGTATTTTAGCATTACAATTGATGAAATTTAATGCTAACTGATTAAAAATGATGCTTTTTGTATTTTTTTTTTAACCAGACTAGGTGAATTCTCTGTATAGGTAGTAGCAATAAACTTTTTCTGGTGAGCATTTTAGTATTGTATGTCACTTGCATCTGCAAACAATTGCAACTTATGTGTGTATTTTTTACAGTGTTGGGCAGCCTCAATGGATTCTTCACCTCTGTGGAACTCCTACTGTCTGTTTGTATGGAGGATCCTTGCAGAAGTGAGCTGAGACCTGAGTACTTTATTCCTGGGGTTTTTTGGGGGGTTTGTTTCTTTTGGTTGTTTTCTTTTTTTTTTTTCTTCTATAAGAAGAGGCTGATCCAAGCCTTTAAAATTATTTTGAGAATTGACAGTGCTCTTGGTATAGGTATTATGATTTCTTGTACTAGGAGTCTGGCATAAACTGACTGCTGCTTCCCTGGGACCACTTTCTGCCTCCATTAAACTTTTCCCTGATCTCTCGATGCAGTTCTTAATTTCAGCTACTGCATCCCAGTGTATCTAGAGTAACTGAGTATGCTCCTCCACCTTGCTTGCTGATGGCTTGTCTTGGGGCCTATTCTGGAATGACTTACTTCAGTATTACTGAATTACTCTGAAGTCTGTCAGGAAGAAAGCTGGATACAGTAAATGAAGGGGATGAGCAGTCAATCTCCATGACTCTGCCTCCCCTTTGTTACTCACTCCCCTTCCAGCACTGTCAGGACAACTCTTGTCATTTTGCTCCTGCTCTTACACAGTAGATGTTTCCTATGAAGACTGAAATCTGTCTTCAGCCCCATTTACATTCCTGCATGGATTAAAGCTTCTTTAGTAAAATGAAGGTAGGACTTGATATTTATTTTCAGTCTGCTGCATGTTACACTGGTGTTGAAATGCTGTATTTTTTCATAGGGTGAACATCCAGCAAGGCCATGGCACCCCCTCATGGATGACAGGCTACAGACAGGGAGTTACCTCAGCAAAAAGTGGACAATCTTTGAGCACTGCTGTCCCACTGAAACCTCTCCTGTAATGAAGCTCCTGGCAGATCAAACTTGCTGATAATTGCAGACACTGTGGATCTCTCTGCATTTTTTTTTCTCTTGGATGTCCACTGCATTAAAAGTATTTATTTTTCAGTGAGTTCCTGGTTCAAATTTCATAGAATACATATTGCCAGCTCAAGTGTGGAGTGGTGTTATTGCTGATGGACTGGCTACTGAATCCCCTAGCTTACAATGAAACTAATATTTTAGCTGTTTTACCTAATATCCTAGAAAACCTACAACAGGGATCTTGCCTCAGTAGGCTCTCAGGCTCCTGTGATTTACTTAATCATTCATGGAGTGCCTAACAGGCACTTGCTGATGTTCCCTGCTAGTGAAGCATGTTGGTTAGCAAAACTTCAGGCCCTCCTTTGTGTTGGAATGCCTGTTTAGAAACGTGTCTGGAGTTCAGTGGCACACCCTGAAGAAATGTATGGAAATCCTGCAGCAGAAAACAGACTATGAATACTGACTATGAGAGGGGTGGGGAACAGAGGTTTTTGTGGTGTTTTTTTTTTTGTTTTTTTTTTTTTCAGAAGTATAATGTTTTTACTTGTAGTTTGAACATAAATCAACTAAGCTGAGATGAAGCTTCTTCCTTCTTTCCTTCTTCCTTTGGAGAAGGAAAAAAAAAGGCATCCATCTCTTAATTTCTCCTCTGGGGCCTTGGCTGGCTGCCTCAAAGTACGGGTGGGTGGGAATTCTGTGTGTGTAAACAAAACCCAAAAGAACAAAAGCCCCGTTTTCAACTTGTTGCTTAGCCACTGTGGAATTCAATACCATAGAAATTGCATTGTTATGGATAATGCACAGTTTTCCAGGAAGACTTTGCAGACTGGCAAGAGTTGATCTGGGTTTTGGTGGAGTGTATTTTTTTTGGTTTTGGTTTTTGATGTTCTATATTATAATATTAAGAGTCAGAGGAGACTAGAGTGATGAACCAAGCAAATCTGTGGTGTAGCAGAAGTAGTTCTTCATTGAAGTGACACTGCATGTCTTCCCTATTGCTATCTTGCACCCTCTTGAGACTGCTCTGCACTCTGTAGTAGAGTTTTTTGTAAAGAAAACCAACCTGTAACACTGGTGCTGCCCTACTCGGGACACCTGGAGCAGGGCTTGGATGAAGCAGCAGAAGCAGAAAACAGGAGTTGCTTTGTTATGGGTAATCCTAAACTCTTCTGGGCTGGGAACTGTGGAGTGTCACATTAGAGATGCAAATACATGCACACAGAGTGCACTTCTATTTCCTGAGGGGAGCTACCCTCAGGCTTCTGCTTTCTGTGTTTGGAAGTGTTGTTGTATTGTTACACTCTATTTTTCCCTAGGAAAAACCACACTGCTTCCTTGATGTAACTGTCTGTGCTTGATTTTTGGCAATTTCCAGTTTTGTAGTTTGTTACCATTGACCACACTTCTCTGCATTGCCCAGGTGCCCTCTCACTGGAGCACAGGAGCCACGGGGCCACAGCCTCTCCCTTGGCAGCACAGAGAGCATCCAGATCCTGCCTGGAGGTTTGGGAGGACTGACCCCCTCCCAGGAAAGGTCCCTTCCTCTCTTCTGCTACAGAAAAAAGGAACAAATGGCAGAAAAGACAGCAGGTACCAACACGAAGAACCTTTTCATTTTTTGTATTCTTTTCCATCTATATGTCACCTCCTCAGGAATGCTTGCCAGGGGATACACTGACTAGCCAGGTTTGTAAAAATATAAATATTCTTGAGGGCAGAAAGAAGGCCCTCTTAAGGGGGAAATAATATCTTAAATTAGTTTAGATTTCCAAATAATTCTCCCCATTCCCATTTCCATGTAGTCAGGTAAGTCTTAAAACATCCCAGCTTCTCCCCTATAAAGCCTGACAGCCTCATGGCCCTCAGCTCACATTGACTGTATTTCCAGCTCTGGAATGCATTACACATTTTAGGGCTTTTGCTATGGTTCAAATAGCTTTGTATGGTACACAAAGCTATGTTGCCACACTAATACAGCAGTCACTGAATATTTATGACTTCATAGCAATGCAGCTGCAATATTTGTTGGGAGTGTTTCTAAAAGAAATGCAGGTTTTCCCCAGAGAACAGACAATTTACTGAAAATATTTAATCAACCCATTTAAAATAAAAACCAGATTTTTAATTAGTCTACATCTATATGCTTTCAAGATTCAAGATTTTCAACATTGGCTTTTTGGCTTATTTTTATTCCTAATAGTTCACTTGCCACAATAATTTATTAAGATTGGAAAAATGATATGACCCTTGAGGGCCTGAACTTCAAATCCACTCCCCTCTTCCAAATTTGGGTGTCACTTTAACATGCAGTCAAGGAGAAAATGCTTTTATATTAAGGAGATTTTTTTTTTCTTGTTTTTGTGCATGAAATAGGGCAAGTTATCTTGCATACTCTTGTATCGTCACATGCTCACTTAAATTTTGTAGAACAATACTATGGGAATGCAGACCATTATACCCATTAGGAATATTTGTTCCTTTACTGTTGCTGTGTTAATGCAGTAGAAAGTAATCTAGTTTTGTTCTGGATGTAATTTACCTTAGTCAACTTACTAAACACAACACAATTTCCTTGTAAACCAAATTCTTGGAATCACCTTAATGCATTAGTAGATAATTAGTACTGGTTTACATAGTTTGGCTTAAGAAATTAGCTTAAATGTGAGTACAATTATTTAAACTGGTGATGAAATGCAATTATTCCTAGGAAAAACAAATTTTTATACAGAATTAATATAAAAATGTTTCAACAAAAAGTAAAAGCTAAATTTTATTTACTTTCACTTAATAATCTTTATAACCTGTTACAGTCTTGCTCTTTTCTGCATAAAATCTACTTTTAACCAACTTATCAAGCACAATGGAAAAACTGAAATACCTTCAAAACTTATTAACCAAAGCATGCAATACATCTTTATATAAATTGTCAGCTGTCATCTTGGAAAAAGAAAAAGCAAAGAAAAAGTGTAAAATTCGGCGATGACTTCACAAGAAACCGTATTAATTTGCTTTAGTGATACTGTTCTTCTTCCAGACCCCTGTCAAGAGAATCCAAGGTACTGGAAGTACAGCAAAGATCCCATGGTGGTGACACTGCAGGATGGGCTGGAGCCTGAGGCTGGAACACGAGTGGGATGCCAAGCAGAGGAAGCTGATGTGCAGCTGGCTGGAGAGTCACACTGCAGGTAATGATTAAAAATGCCTGTTATTCAATAGACTGATCAGGTTTGTTTAGAATAAGATCAAGCTGTGTTTGTTGAAATGAGAGAATCAAAACCATTCTGTTCCTTCAGGTCCCTCAGCTGGATATCAATTCCCTTATCCTCCTCCCACCTTGTGTAAGGAAAATGTGATTCTTAGCTAAGTTAGCTAAGAACTTTGCACTGGAGTTGAAAACTCAACTGTTTGGAGAGTCAAAACATGAACAATAGAAAGGTAAATCTTGAATATTTATCTGCAATTTTTTGTAACAGTCAAACATTCAAAAATCTCCTGGAAATTAGTCTTTAAAAAAGGAGTGGTTTCTTTGAACCAATCTGAAGACAGAAAACAGCAAGAAAATTTTGAAGAGGCCATACTTTGCAGAGGAGGAGAACCTTGCAGTTTGATTTGGATAATTCACAAACAGAATTTATTAAATGTTCTGGATAAATTGTATTTGCAAGTTCTCCCACATCTAATTCACCTCTCTCCCACATAATTATTTTCTTAAAGTGACAAAAATCACCTATTCTGATCCCAGGGGTAATTCTCCCTCTCCCCTTGCATGATTCATCTCACTTTAAAATTCTGGCATTTCCCATTTTTTGTAATAGTTTTCTCCAGCCTCAGAGCTTTTAAAATGAAAAGCTTTTTTCTCATTAAGTGTAGGTGACTTCATCTCCACTCAAGGAAACAGCCCTGTTAGGAATGCCCATGTAGGAGTTAAGCTGCCTCTTGAAGGAACAGCAATAGATTTCCATTTTCAGCTCAGGTCATAAGACTTTTTTTGTTTTGTTTTGTTCTTAAGAGAACTTTTGAAGAGGGGGGATGTGAACAAGTGATTCAGAGGATAAGCAGCAGAGGAGTTATCTACTGTTTTATGGTGTGGACACTGCACTCCAGTGAGCATGTGGCTCCAGAAATGAGACATGGACACACAGTTCTTGCGAGAAGCAACTTCCATCTCCTTTACATGAAAGTAGGGTGGTAGAAGAGACCCCACTGAAGATAATCCATTTTCCAGTCCAAAAAAATAACAACAGTACCACACTGCACTCCTCTCGCTTGGAAAAGTTGGAGAGGCAAATTGAATCACAATAAGTTAGCTAACAAAGCCTTTAAAATTCTGGTCTTGTGTTTAGTCTGGACACATCGTTCTATGTACAGCTTTCAGCTTTATTCAACATGTTTGATACTGCCTGTGAAATCAGGCTGTAGGACTGGACTCTGATCAGGTTTACCCTGCCTTAGTGGCAATAACTGGCAGGAATTCTCTTCAGCTGCACTCACAAGTGAGCTCAGTGCCTCACTGCTTTCTCATCTGCTCTGCACTAAACAAGAATAGGTTGATAGCTGATGAAAAAGCAGCTCTAGTACAAACCAGACTGTGATGGTGATGGTTTATCTTGTCTGAGATGCACTTCCATCCTCCTGTTACACAAATGCACTCTGATGGACAGTACCTTCACAAGTGTTTGTTTCCATGACAAACACCATTTGTGTGTGCATCTGTACATCCGCTCTTACCTTGGGTAATTAGGCAGCTGTTCCTTGTCTGTTGAGTTCCTAGTTGTAGACTAAGAAGAAAAAGATGCAATCAATAATAATTTAAATTAATAAGTTAGGCTTGTGCAAAATATCTTTTGAAGCTGAATAATTCAGAAAACACATTCCTACAATGAATCACTTTTTATGTGCTTTACTTCAAATATGAAGACAACACATGTCCCTGGGAGCAGGAGAGCAAGAGACACTCACAGAAATAAGCAGTTGTTGTGTGGGAGAAGGACATGAGGTGGATTTTGTACAAATCTTACTGCCAACAGCAAGGCTGGTCTCTCTTGGTGGCAATTAGGAGAGGTGAGAGAAACATGGATATTCATTGTCTTGGTGAACTCCTATCAGCAGTGGGACTGTGAGCTTGCCTCATGAACACCTGACTTAGTGACAAATAGGCAGGAAACTGATTTTTATTATTTTCTAGATTTAAACTTTGAGCATCATGTGAAAGTCAAGAAATTGGAAATAAGTCAGGCTAAAGATGTTCCTTCACAAGTCCAATGGACACTATTGTAAACTACCAACAATTAAGTATTTTCAAGGCTAGAAGTCATGTTGAAGCCATGAAGGAAAAAAAGCAGCTTTTCTATGACTTCCTCACTGTCCAAACATACAAAAGCTTGTACGTGCTTCAGGATCTCATGCTATTTCAACTTTGCTAAGTTGACCAAAGAAGTTTTAGTGCCTGTGAATCCAAATGCCAAAATTAGGGTCTTTATTTGTTCATATTCCTGTTATCTAGCAGAGACAACAGAAATTGGTGGTTGTGCTCAAAAATAAGGAGTGCTTTTTTAGTTTTCAGGGAACTCTCCTTAGACACAACCTGCAAGCTGGAGAGGCATCAACTGATGAATAAGCAATCTGTTAACAACTTGGACTAAAAACAAGGCACTGATGAGGGCTGGGGAATGAAGCCAGACATTTTGGATGGCAAATGTAATCAATAACCTGCCAGTTTGTGCACAGTGCTCTTCTGGGTGTTTTGTGGATCAAGATGGGAAAGAGATTGGAAATCAAAATGTGGAAGAACAAATTCTGTGGAGGATGTCTTTACTGCAGTGGAGTATCTGGCTGCTTACAGGACCTTACAGGAGACGTCAGTATTGAAATGTCCACAGCAACAGCTTGTAAAATTGCTCTTCTTGCTAGGAAGGCCATTTTCAGTCTCAGTACCTACTGCTTTTAACAGCTATGAAATAAATGCTTGCAGTTGAGTAGCCTGTGGAAAAAGCTTTGACCTTTCCACAGCAGGCCACTTACCTTGCCAGTCTTTTCAGAGAGGCCAAGACTGAACAGATGCAAAGACTGAATTGCTCATTTATCCCATGGGTATATTTGTCATTGTAGGACTACTAAAATATCTAACATTTTTCCCAAGACTTAGCTTCAACCATTACAGAAGGTCCTGGCATTGAAATAATAAGAGTTGTAATAACACCACCACCAATAATAATAAATCAAGCTTAACATATGCTTAAAGCAGTATTTGTCTCCTGAAGTCCAGCTGAGTTATAGATTTTCTTCTGTGGCCTCTGTCTTGCTCATTACCTAGCAATGAAGCAGGGACACCTAATACTCAGTTCTTGCTGCTACGCCAAGCCTGGAGAACAGAGCATCAGTCATTCCCAGTTTTGATGAGGAACCTGGCACTTCCCTCCCTATAAACAAGTTCAAGGTTCTAGAGAGATGAGGTATGAGGGAATAGCTAACTACAAGCAACTCAAACCATCTTGTATAGTTTCTGCAAGCTTGTGCATATTTTTAGGGTCTGGATGACTAAATCTGTGGGATGTGACACACAAGGTGCCATAATGTAACTGCAATAGTAGGCAGATTTTGAAGTTCTGTGTTCAGAAATGGCTAAATGAGATTCACAAGAGGTAATTCAAATGTCCAGTGGTGTAGGTAGGCATCACATATGTTTTTAAGTATTCCCATGTGCTAGGAAGTAAGGACGTGGGATGCATGTGAAAGCTGTGCTGTTTTTTAAAACTTTAAAAGAAACATGTCTAGTAATCCTTGCCTAAATATTGTCTCAGCTGCTGCCATTTGTTCTATCAGTGGACATGCAGAAACCCAAGGCTCTCCAGCCTTACCCTAAGTTTAAAGAGTCTTGCTCAAAGGTAAGTTTCCCATGGGCAGTAGGCTATTTCTAGTTCAGTACTTTGGTGATGCACCCTGAAAAATCTGGGCTACTCAGATTTAAAAGTGGAGCTTTTGTCCACAAATCTTCTATGTATTTCCCTGAAATTTTATTTAAGGTATTTGTTTTTGCTGGTTTTGGTTTGTTGGCTAACATTGTGAAAAACATCAATGTCTACAGACCCTATCTGTATTATACAGTATTGAGCTAAAGCATTATCCCTGCCTGTATTTTCTACAAATGAACGTTCTACATGCCTAGGCCTTATGTAGTTGTTCTTAAAACACATTTTTCTAGATATTTCACCCCAAGAGTGGCAGAACCTTTTGCTTTGCAGCTGATTTTTTTTGGGGGGTATTATCCAGTCCTATACTAAACTGTTACAAAATGAGACATGAACTTTGAGACATTTCATTTTTCCATTATTACATTTGATGCTGAGTGCCACTTTCCCACTTTCATTAATAACTTCATTACAGTGAAAGCAAGATCAAACTTATCAAGAAACTAAAAATTATGTTCCATAATAATTTCTAGTACATATTTTCCTTTCTCATTAAAATAAAATCAAGTTCCTTTTCTAAAGACTTCAGATGTGATCTCTTTAAATCCTCAATCAAGACTTCAAAAACTGTCTACAACAAAGACTATCCAAATCCTGATTTCAAACATGGAGTTTAGAGAGGGAGGCCTATGTTTATAAAGGTACAGCAGGAAGAGTGTGTTCATGCATGTAAAAACTAGTATTCTTTGAATACATCTAAGGACTGCTGACATTCACACATACCACTTTACTAAATGGCATTTGAAACAAAATGTCTCTCGAATGCTACCTGGCCTGCTTTCCTTAGGAACTTCAAAGGAGAAGAGAAAGTGATTGTCATTTTTGTTCCGGGCAATTTATGTCTGGACATAGAGATCCTCCTTCTGTGATCCTTGTTTACTCCTGCCATTGATGTGCCTTCAGTTCTAGAGGAAGTCCTTTTTTTTAAGCACTGAAATAATTGATTTCTGTTGTTGGACACAGACCATAATGATTCTTCCCACTGTATTTCTGCAGTTCAAAGCTGCTGCTTTATATGCATCACAGGATATATGACAGTGTAACAGAGGGCAGTGAGGTTAGGATCAGAAGGGAATATAACAATCATTATCTGAGTTACTGGATAATTTCACAAAATTACCCATTCTAGTGTTGATACTACATTTCTGCTGCTATGATTCAATAATGAATTCTGGAGAAGGAGGACAGCTACAGAGACCTTAAAATGAAACCCTACAGACAAATACTTTCCAAGAGTCATCCTCATGTTCTCGTGAGCTGCAGTGATCCCAAGCCCTCAGGCTCTGAGCACCTTGTGAAGGCTTTTGCTCAGGACACTGCCTCCCTACCAGCCACAGAGGATATTAAAGCTGGAATATCTGGACTGCAACACTGCCACTGGGCCAGCAGGAATTTCCCTTAATTAGTTACAGTACCTCACAAGTTTATACAAATACAACACTGTCTAAGAGCATAATGAAAGCAATACTGTGCATTATTTTTCTCCCTTGCAGTAAGGAAATAGCACATTCAGGTGATAATTTTAAATAGAGAGATACAAATGGTACTAAGTCCAATGTGAAATAAACTACTGATTTTCCTTCCAGCATATGTACTGGAGTTTACAGAAAACAAAAACCTAAGACCAATATAATCTAATGGATTGTTTTTGTAATAAAAAGAGAAAATAATTTGCAGGAAAAGCAGTGCTTTATACTATTGTAGATGACATTCAATCACAAAGAAATATTCTGACCTGGAAGGCACCTGCAATCATCAGAGAGTCCAGCTCCTGGCCCTGCACAGGACAACCCCAAAAATCCCCTTTTTCCCCAAAAAGGGAAAAAAGCATCTTAAATCACTAATGGTACAGTTTTAAATAATGACCACAATACTCACAAAAACTGCTGTAGCAGTAGAAAGTTCATCAAGAAGTTGCAAATTGGTGACTGATTTACAAATAAAATATTGAAGTCATCAAGCAAATTGCTCTAAAGAAGCCATCTACCCAAATTCTGATGATGCAGTAGGAAATAGGCATTGGACAGAAAAGCTGAGCAACAGAGACTTGGTGAATTTTCTGTCCCATTAACTCACAGTGAGTTAATCTTTGAGATGAAATCTTGACACTGCTGAAGGCCTGATTATGCTAAAATAAATGTGGTCAGATACAGAAAATGTTCATTACAAATTCAATGCCTGATCCAAAAGGGTTTGGATCAGACCTCTGCACTACACTTAAAGTTCAAGGCTTCAGAGTTCTTAAAGGCAGAAAAAGCACAACTTACCATTCAGATTTTCATTTTCTTGTCTGTTTCTGATAGTGGTGTCTCTAAGGTGATGCACTTTTTCCTTTAAGTAAAAAAACAAGCATAAAACCAGGAGCAGAAATCAGTAATGGAAGCTTACTGTAGAAATAGGAAGACACTATAAAAAACTGAATTCTTTAGCATTCTGAACACCAAGCATCTCTCTCCTGGAAAATAATTTTAGAAGACTGAAACATGTTTATAATGCTAATTTTAGTATTTTTACCTAAGACTCTTGTGGAGTTATCCCTGCCAGCAGTAAGTTAAAATGATTCTGGCATTAGATTACAGACACAGGGATGTTCTTTTCTGAGGGTTGGGGGTTATTTGTTTTTTTGGTTTTTTTTTTTGAAAAGCGATTTTTCCTCAAAAATCCAAGTGAAGGACAAAAAAACTGCAGTAACAGCATGAAGTCAGTTCACCATGTTTATGGAGGCGTAAGAAGAAAACCAAAGAAAAGTCACATGCAATGCAGGGTAAAACCCACCACTACAAAATAGCTTCTTCCCTGAAGCACTGAAAACAGGCCAAGTAAATCTTCCTTGAAATATGGGCATCTTATAGTTCCCCAAGAAAAAAAAGGACTTATAACTTGGTGCTGCTATCATGGCACAGATTAAATATGATCTTCCTCCACAAGAAATGCCCCTGACTGAGAGCAATACCAGTGATTCATCCACATGCTTGGATGCAGATGGATTTGGAAGGTGGCAGCCTAGTGCTGTGCTGCTGGTGCCCAGCTTGGGAAATGGCCCCCAAACTGCCCCAGGCCCTTGCAGTGTTCTACTGTGATGACAAAGCTCAGACTTTCAAGTAGATGCAAACACAAAAAGCACTCTCCTTGCTGGCAGCATCTGATAGCTCTTCCACTCTGCAAAGCAGCAGAGTAGCTTTCCTTTTCTTCTTTCTACTAAATGACCTAAAGGACAACAAGAAATTATTTTTTTTAATGCATGACCTCATATAAAAAGAGGGCATAACCTCTTCCTCCATGTGTCTTTTTAGAAGTAATTAACAAAACTCCTCTCCATGACTTGCAGCTTTGATGCAGTTCTTTCAGTGACTTAGTGTGTGGGCTTTTGCAAATCCTGTTTTTGTGCACTTCAATTTACTCCATATATTAAATACAAAGGAGCCTTAGAGCATTGCCAACAATTGTGGGTTTCACTAAGTATATTCAACCCTTTCAGACAGGCATAAAGCCTGATGTAAGTTAGTATATTTTAATTGCTAGAATAAATGTATGTTTGGTATAGTCATGTTTCTGTTAGCTGACACTGATCAATAGCACATTTGGTTTGTTTGGTGACAGAAGGTTTGTGGTTTCATGAAAGATGCACCTCACCCAAGAGTTTAAAACACATCTTAGGAGACCAGCATATTTAACTCTGGATTTTAACCAAACTCAGAAAACCTCTCAAACAACAGTGGTAAGGGTATCTAGAAGATTCAGAACCATAACCAGGCAAGCTCCTTGGGAGATGATTAGCATATTAATCATGATTATTACTTTTGATCTCATATGCAGGAGCCAAAACACAAGAACTTGCTTTTAGAACATCTGACCAATACTGCTATCAAGAACAAATTTCAAACTCATACCTGTTGAGTGGATGGTAGTCTCTGCTTTTTGTTCTGCCACTGTTTAAATCTGTCAAGGGCTTCATCCACAGAAATTGTCCCCTTTTTCACCCGTTCCTGCAAGTGGATGAGTTCTTCCTGTTCAGAAGGGATCCTGTGTACCACAGTGCTATAAGTTACTGTCTCGGCATGGCCTCTGTGTGCTTCTACAACAAAATGTGTGAAGTGAGAAATGCAACAAATCAGTGAGGATGCTACCATTACTCTTTGGCAGCACAGCAGGATCCCAAACATTTCCTTCATTACTACTGCCCTGGTACATGGATTCTCCATTAGCGTTGGTTCATAAAAAGAATTTCCTTCTAGCACTACAGTTACAGTACTGACATTTTTAAGGAAATGGTTGCTATATTAAATATCCACAGTGCCTTTTTATCCCTTTTGTCTTCAATGTCATACATTACATATCTCAAAAGTTGTGGACGAAATTTGGTCAGGAAGCTTCTTGAAATTTCACAAGATTGCCTTCCTCTAAGGAAGGAAATACATTATTAAATACATTGCAGCAACAAGAAAACACTGCAGCCCAGTGTTCCTGGAGATTATGATACAGTGCACAGTGAAGGGAGATGTGCATTACCAGATTCATAGCTTGGTCCAGGGAGGTGTAGCACTGTTTCCCCAGGATACTGATACTGGAATGGCTGATCCAGAACACATGAGCTGCCATGGAACAGGGGTTCTGAGCCTTCCATGAGGCTGTTGCACCTGTTTCACTGCATGGGGAGTGTGGCCAGGATAAAAGTTTAAACCATCAATATAATTTGGGTCAGTTTTTCTGTTACATTATGAACCACTATCTTCATTTCAAGTAAGGAAGGATTGTTCAAAGGGGTACTATTAATGGAATTTTACAGTAGCAGCATTGTAATGTGCTACAATTCAAATAACAACTGGACTGCCACTAGTAATTAATTTTACATGCATCTTGGGGTATCCAGGAGAGAACTGTTGCTCCCCCCACTTCTGTCTTTCCAGGGCTGGAATTACTGCACAGCTGAGCCCTCCTGTCCTTCCTTTTCTTGGCTTCAATCGCCATCATGAAGGGAAACAGAAAAGTGTAAAGTAACTCTGACTCTACAAATCTTTCCTACAAGACTATAACTTTTAGTCTTCTTTCTTTAATCTGATCTCTTAATGCTGCAATACCATTAAGGATATAAATCGTAGGTGGCAAAACAGATGCTAAATCACCCAAAAAAACTCTACTAGTTCTACTGAAAAATATCAAGGCAGTTAAGGAGCTAAATTAAATTATGTACCAGGATTTCTGGCCTCGCAGTATGTCCTGCTGTTGTCACTGGTCACTCGACAGGCCTTTTGCTGAAACACTGCAACAAAATTAGGAATATAAGGAAGTTGAAAAATGGCCATAAAAACCATCACACATTCTCAACGAAGGAAGGACACTCATAAAAGCAGGCTGGAATATATTTTTTGTTCTAGTCCAGGAATATTTTTCAACCCACTTGTCAGTCTAATGTTAATTACTTGAAAAATTATTCTGTTGCATAGAATGGCAGGATTACTGATGTTAGAGAAACCATTACAACAAGCTCTGAAGAAAATTAAAAGGATTTATCACTCTAGCATATTACTTGTCTTGGAATTCGTCACATAGTACAGACACTGTAGCCTGTTCCTTATTTTATGGGGAAAGCTAAGGCAGAAAACTCCCCAACAGTAGCAGGTGAGAATAGTGACACTGCTCAAGAAAGTGTTTGTATATATTTGTGTCTACTTTAGTCAAGCACTAGAAACAGCAAAGCACAACCCCTCTTGTTAGAATAGCCCATCATTCCCACTCCTGTGAAGTGCCCAAAGTACAGCCAGCCTGGATACACCCTGAAATGCTACACTCAAACTTTTGCTGGCAGCATATGTAACACCCAGAAGGTGGGAATTGCTCAGTTTCTGACTTAGCCCGTGTGGCAGTAGCTTTCTCTCAAGTCTCAGTTCTGATTTTCACTAAACAAACTGACAATATAGAACCTAGAATAATTCCTGCCAATTAAGTAATCCTCTGTCACCACTGCAATGCAGCAAATGTGCCAGTTCAATGGAGCAAATATTTTCCTGGGGACCAAGGCCCAGGCCAAGGGAGCTCTGCTCAAGCAGCAGAGCAGGCACACTCTCTGTTATGTCCCTATCTCAGCCAAACACTGATAGCTTTTAACTTTTTAAATACTTTTCTCTGTAATTATCAAAGAATCCTACTAAGTATGGTTGCAGTGTTTTCTTCTCTACTTGAAACAGTATTCTCCTTTTAAAGATGAAATGAAAGCAATGAGAGCACAGAGGTAATGCAGGCAGCCTGAATTTTACTGCAAAAGGAGGAGAAGGGACATACTCAACAATGTGCCTGATTGGAAAGCACTTTAATTGATAGGCTTTGAAATTTCTGCTGAGTTTTGCAGTGTTGGAGTAATCAGAAATGGAATTACTCTTCCAGTGAAAAGTAAAATTGTTAAAACAACTTTATATGCTGCATCTTGCTGAAATGATTTTAGTTGGCAGCAAGTATTCAGTGTGGGTGAGGTCAGTGAAAACAAACGCCTGTTTCTGGAATGCCTGGAGAGGCAGGAACACTCCACTGTACAACTGCCATAGGTTTAGGAAGAACTCTGGCAATTCACCCTTTCATTCCCACATGCCAATTACTTATGAACGACTTGAACACAGTAGTGAAATAAAAGAAACATGTAATCTTGCACAGGGATAGATTCCATTATTTTTTTAATGGAAGATAAAGTAAATATTCCTTCAGTAAAGCGATATTATAGCAATTTTTTAAAGTGTCAGAAAGACACAATCCTTCAAGTAAAGGATATGTATTTTTTTATTTTCTGGGCCTCTCTTGCACAGATAATCTGATTAAATTGTTCCAGTACTTCTGTCATACTTACTGTGCACCCTTCAATAACATTTGTATGATCAGAAAGATAATCCCTTTGGATTTTTAATCATGTTGTGACTGGCTAAAGTACCCATAGATGCTCGTAGGTCAAAATCTACATATTAGATGTCCTGACCCTATACATGCTATTTAATTTTTGTCTACAATAAACTTCTTTTGCAGTTTCTTGGGATTAAAAGAGGCTCAGAGAACTAATAAGTAATTCCACTTCATCCCCTCTCCTCTCTTCAGCTGCTACAGGATACAGATTAAGTTCTTCACAAGCCCTAAATACATTTTTATGTCTCAGGCAGTAAGATCTCTTTTTAGGAATGTAATGTAACCTCAATATTCTTCCAGGAAAGCAAACTCACAGAGATTGAAACTACTGCAGTATTTTCCATTTGGACATGAAACCAGAGAAAAACATCGAAAAAATGGGACAAAACACAAATTTTGTGGCAAATATGCAGAACTCTGGGAAAATCTCTAATGTAAATCTTGGAAAGTGAGTGAGATCCAAGGAACTCTGAATTGCCTGTTTTATCTCAGACTAACTAAAGATGTTGTTTCAGGTTGTTTGCACGTGCAGGTAAATAATGCTACAAGGCTTGAAATTTGGTTAATATTTTCATGGTTAGCACCACAAAAGGGTTATAAAAATTTGAAATACAAGTCTTTTGTGTATAATTCTGAACTAAGAAGACCATTTTATAGTAACAAACTACAAGAAACTGTGGTGAGTATAAATGGTCTAGAAAAAGAGAATGAAAGTTCTTACAATAGCTGCAGGTTGAAAAAAGGATCAGGAATTTGATTTTCAGAATTAATTGAATTTCTAACACAATGCTGTAATGCTAAGGAGTTGAAGATGCACTATGACATTTCAAAAATTGCTTAGCGACATAATTAAGAAACACAGGAAATCAAAACTCAGGAAGAGTTAGCTCATGGGAGAGAAGAACTCATATCAGCTAAGAGGCAATGATCAACTAAGATATGATTTCTAATTTATTTTTTACTTTACTCATCTAAGATATGAGGGATGTTGCCTGATTTGTTGAATTGGCAATATTACCTCTAAAAATGAAACAAGAGTTTCCACTATGCACTAGTGATTCAAACAAAGCTAGACTGACGAACCTATCCTCTGAAAGAATATATGAGCTAATCACACCTAATATATACTTACTTGACACTTTCAGTAGCACAAACACAAAGGAGAAAAGACAGTGATTAAAAAATACATCAATAAATACCACTATTTTGAATTCAGCTTGTTCAATTCAAGATGCATTTATTCATCAACTTCATTGAGCTGATGTTCCAAACAAAATTATCTATGACTGTTCTCCTTCGGAAACATTCAAAATTAAAATATAGGAAAACAAAATCTTTATATGAACACACAGCTAAGTGATAATTCAAATTAATTAGTACACTAGGGTTGCACTTAGTAACACAACTCAATTGCAAATTACAGTGGGTTTGCAAATTGCCTCCTTGTTCTTAGTAGGATTTTACTTCATTCATTTTAAAATCATCATGTAATTAATTTGTGATTAGTGGAAGAATGGAGAAGGAGGGTTGAATTGGTTAGGATATGTTGCAGGTAGAGACTCCTGCCTTTGTACATTCTATTTTTCCAGATTATTTAAAGATTTTAACATTTAAACTCTGTATTCATAGTTAGTACCTAGGCAAATAAAACCTCCAAGTTATTTTTCCTGGTAGGGACTGGATTACAAATTAGATGTAACACAGCAAGAGATGACAAATACACAGAGAATACCAAGGAAGGAATATAGTAGAATGATGCTTATTATTCAGGAGAGGAGAACTATGCAGATGTTTGTTCACATCTTTTTAGATCTCATTTTCCTTTTGTCTGAACATCACTCAGCATGAGGACTCGAGAGAGGTCATCAGTGCAATGCTAACCAGTAAGTTTTGTAAGAGATGATTAATGACAACTCCCAAAATTTTTACAAAATATTTCACTTATTCAAAATGAAAACAAAAAATTCCAGTGACTCATAACATGAAATCAACTAAAGAAATGGGACCTTGTAAACAGACTTTTTTTCTTGTCATAAGGCAAGGCGGCTGGCCATGGATTAAAAGCATATCATCACAGCTCATGAATCTGATCTAGGTAGGTCCAGGCATTGTGGAGAAGGGATGGCTGTGTAGTGCAAGATAACAAAGGCTCAAATCCCAAAAGCTGGCCTGTGAGGGCACCATCAGTGTCTGGGTGCACCTACACCATGGCAAGGCAAAGGGAAGACTAAGCAGTTTTAAGTGCATTGGTGCAGGAAAATGAGTCACCACATCTATACTGGTACAGGAACTCTGATCAGGCCTACATGGGCAGCCTGACACTCAAGACAGTTTTGAGAACACACAACAGTAATTTATTCAGAAGAAAGATTAAGTGATGCCAAGTGCACCTGCAGAAATACCAGCCTGCTGCTTTGCTCCCTTACACTGCCAGGCCTTTTCAATGACAGCATCACATCCACTCATATAGGCTATTGCCAGCCTCTACCTTCCACCTTAGTTGGCTGAGAACAAACCAATCCATTTTCTCAGACCAAAAGCAAAATGATTTTAGAAGGGATTACAGTGTAATGACAATGTGAAAAATATTAATCCAAAAATCAACATATGCTCACAGCAATTCCCTTTCCAATTTGCAGTGAGATTCTCAGTCTGACAAATATGAGCTCAGATCTGTTAGAATCCCAGCAACTCTCACAGAGAGAAGACTCTACAGAGATGACTCCTCTGCACTGAAGCAAGATAATGAAAGTAATACCAGAACCCTCTTCTTACAGAAGGATTAAAGAGCGAGTGAGAAGAGGCACCAGTGGTTAGTTTAAGGTGCAGCTCAGAGGGTGGTGTCAATGTACTATGTACCACAGTATCACACACAATGAAAACAACTCTAACACCTCTGCTCTTGAGGAGAATTTTAACTTAGTGGACTGTGGAAGCTGGAAGGACTTTAGTGACATACTCAAGAGTATTTGCTCCAGCATGTAAAACCTGAATATACTTCTTTAGTCCCATTTTTCTGAAGTAGAGAAAAGCAAAAATGGAAGGACTCTATACATGTTTTTACTACAAATACGCTGTTTGGAACAGTTTGGTTTGCAAACAGACAGCATCCCATCAATATTTTTCTCTTTGTGCATCTTATTCAGTACTTGTTTCAATCTACCTAAGTTCAGATAGGAAAAAAATCTGATTGAATAAAGATAGTGGGTGAATCTGGTATATCACTCCCAACCAGGTCTGTAAAAACTGTCTAACTGTCAGCCAAACAGTGCTTCCTAGCATTTCATTCATGGAAAAACACCCTTAAGTTAGGAATACATAATGAAATTCATCTGCAGTGCAGTACTTTATACTCACTGTGGGAGACTACTACAAAATCCCTCTGTGTGACATAAATGTTTTGTAATTTTCATGGTCTCTGAGGCTTCACTTTGGAAACCCCTGCTTTAGAGCATTTAAACAATTGGCATAATAAGAATTACTGACTCAAGACGCGATCACTGTATTCCCCAGTAATCAGCCTGGTAAGTTTCCAAGACACTAACAGTTCTGTTCTGGATTTTATTTATTCACTTCAGTGGGTTTATGCTGTCTATTCTGTATATGAAATATTTTGATTCCCTAAAAATATCCACTGGATGCTACTTCTTCTGCATACCCTGTGATTTTGATGAGCAATGAGAATTTTATTCTCCACTGGAACAGCAACTGGAAAATATATTGTTCCACTTCTAATTTTTAACCCTAGGGTGAGGTCCCACAAACAGCTATCTTTAAATAGCAAAATGTTTTCAGTGCACAGAAGGGTAATACATTGCTTCAGGGATTTGTGAGAGGTTTGCAAAGCTATAAAGGCTATAGCATAGGAAATTTATGCTGTTGTAGGGCAGGTATCCTTGCTGCAGAGAAACAATTTCATACTAGTGGTTTGTGATAAGAGGTAAATGATTAAACCAGGACAGTAATGTAATCCTTAGCCCTGAGAGAGTTCTAGTAGGCCAGGCTTCAGAAATGGCAGGGGCATTGCAGAAACTCATGCATCTGTCCTACAACTACACTGAGGACTTCGGTTTCCAGCTCAATCAAACTTGGTATCAATAGGGAACATTAAAATTGTACTCTAAAACTGAAAACACAACACCTTCAGATGTTTATTTAACAGTTGTTTTGGCAGCAGACAATTGAACAAAACACTGAAATAACCTTCAGAGGAATACTATGCACCTAAGGAATGGTAAGGGAGCACAGCAAGAGCACACGCCATCTGGACAATGAGCTACTTGGCACCAATTTGCAGCTCCACTGGTTGATGAGCCTTTTACACACAAGATAAAATTCTTGCAGTGGTCTAAATTAAAGAACAAGTGTACTCTCTGTTAATAATGCAGTCTGTTTACCAGTGTTCAATACAACAGTTTGAATGCTCATTAAAATTTGAAAGTATAATAAATGAAACTGAGTAAAAGTGATTAGCACACTTAAGTTTTAAATCTTTCAACTCCTCCGTGTTTCCCAGAATTTACGTGTCAGCAAATTCAAGGCAGATGCTCAAACTGTAAATTGTGGTTGCATCACTGAATGTTTACTGCCTAGGTTTTGAAGTGCAGATCTTGCTCTGAAAGTGACTCTTGTCAAGTCCCATGTTTGCTTTCTATAGACCAACAGTTTCCCTGTCCTGTTCTGCAGAGCATCAAGTGGAGTAATCTACAGGGAGCAGGCTTTCTGCTCAGTGTAAACTTGATATTCCGTGTACTTGAAAGCTGCTTATTACAAAGAAAGCTTGCTTTCTTCTTTGTTGCTATTTTCATGGAAGTACCACTACTTTTCCTTAAAGGAGAAGATACTCTTTTGTAATGTCATGGCCTTCATTCAATGTGTGGTGAAAGCACTCATGGAAATTCAGCCATTTGATTTCTCCAGATAGATATAAAAATAAATCTAAAAGAGTCACCTGTATGCAACCCAGGAGCTAAAAGGCATTTCTGCTATGCAATGCTTACTTCCCCCCAAATAAATAAGCTCATCTATGGGTACATAAAGTCCAAGAAAAGAAATCCTCCTCTTGCATCTCTGCATGGCACTCTTACATCAGCCTCTGCAATCCTTGGGGCACGAAGCTTTCCATGAACTCATCCATGTGTGAGGAAATGTGTACCCTTACCACAGCTCCCCTCTGTGCATTGTACTCCATTCTGTTTTTCCACAGGACCTGTGTCTTACTGAATGCCAGAGGGGAACAATTCTGAAGATCAACCAGAACTGTGCAGTGAAGACAATCTCTTTCTTACAGGGATATTAAATAATTTCTTTTATAAATTAAAAGGTATTTAACAAATAGAAAGTGAATACAGAGGAGGGAAGGATGGCTCTGTTAAGTAACTAAAAGTTGCTCTGCAGGACAGGACTTCTCTTTCCAACAAAGCCTGGCCAAAGGTCAGACAAGTCATTTAGGGCAGCAATCCAACTTGTAATGCCTGACGTCAGACTAGACACACTAAGGATTTAATTTGAAGTTCTGAGAACTCATAGAGACGGCTGAAATCAATGGTGCTTTGAATGAGTAAAGTATTATGTAATGCTGTTCACCTCAAGAATCTTAGTTACTTCATACTGGGCATCCCAATACTCAGTGGATGCAGAATGAAAAGGTTTATAACAGGAAGGTCTGAAACAACACATGGGGCCTAGGAGCAGGCATTAATTGTATTTGAAACAAAATGAGAATGAAAAACACTGAAGTTTTTTATGCTCACCCACTTTAAACACTAGATTAAATGAAAGAAAATATCTGAGATAAATAGCTGCATATGGTTACCTACTTATTACTGTACTGTAATGTTTCTGGCAGGGAGAAAGGGTAAAACTACCTCAATTCTAACTTTTTGATTATTTGACTTCACAATATCTGCAATGCTCTTTTTATGTAATAGATGAAAACAAGACCCAAAACCATCATCAATTTATTTGCTGGATGAAAAATGTGTATATGCATAACTAAAGTATTTTACACTGCTTAAATTATAAAGGAAGGGCTGCAGACACATGCAGATTTTAATGATGGACTGGAATGAAGTTTCCTGGTTCATACAGATGAAACAATCTTTTTTAGATAAAATATAAGCAGTCCTAAAATAATAAATTGGAAATTGGGATGTTGCTGGACTGGAGAGGGAAGTTTTTAACGAATGTGGAGGAAAAAACTGCCAATCCAAGAAGCAAGAAAAAGTCTTTTAGCTGAAGTTCTATCCCTTCTGTCTAAAATTCCATTAGCTACTCAGGGATCCCTGGACAAAAGTAAGATATTCTAGGTCTGAAACCAGAAGGATGGGCAGGAAAACAGAGACCTGAGTGGTCAGCTGAAGCTTTCTTGAAGGGTTTCCATTTTTCCTCATGTATTGTGTAAACAAAGGAACATAAGCCAGAGGCTGATTTCACAGAACTACTGGAAAATAGTTTGTCTACCACTACACACTTATGAAAGCAAAGGTAAAAAACTTTTGTGTGTGTGTGTATATGAATATATACACATGGTGTACCACCACCCCACCAGAGCAGTTCCTCTGATAGCATCTGCCTTAGCCAATGGAGAAAGGAGAAACACTCCAGTGCAATAAAAGACAGTAAAAGCAATCTCCCAAACAAAGCATCTCCACTGCAGGTTTCCAAGTCACTGGCCTGTCTGTGACGATGGTGGACCAAGATTTGAGACACTGCTCTAGCAACTTCAGCAAAAGCAGTCATTTCATGATTTCTGTGGCTGTAACAGGTCCCCTATACCCATCCATTCTTGGATCACACTATAATGATTCATAGTTCTACCTCCTGAATATGCTGAAGAAAGAGCAACTAAATGATGAATGCATTAGCCCATGCATTCTGGCCCTAACCTGGAGTTACACAGCCTGGAGGAAGAGAGCTAGGAAGAATAAAAGCCACTGACTGAGATAGACATGAAAGAGGAGGTCTTCTCTCTATTCGGTAGGATGTTTTGGGCAGTATTAATTCTTTTTTAGTGTAAAACATGCAGAGCATGAATAAGCAATCTAATGGTGTCCTTTGACAGCCTATTTTTTTACCACCTATTCTTATGCATTGGAAAGCTTTTGTAGAAGAGGCTGGAGATGCAGGCAGGATGGATTTTGGGACTTACAAAGAGATCTCTGCAGTATATTCACTGAATTCCTTTTGTTCTTTCAAATTTAGTTTTCAGTTTGAATTGGATTACAAAGATACAAGACCAGAAGGGATTTCAGGTATTTCCATGGAATGTCTCAAAAAAGTTTCCCAGTATTCATAGAAGTGGTAAAAGGACGTAATTTTTCCTAAAAGAAACATAATGATCCTACCTAGAAATGTCCATTTCTAGCATCTCAAATTGGAGAAAAGAAATTTGAAAGAGGAATCCTCACACAGGCATTTCTCCCAGAAAAGAGAATTCTTCTCATTAGAAAAAAAAAATCTAAGAGCTAGATTTCAGCCTTAAGTAAAACCATTTTGATAAAGAAACTGGAAAGAAAGGCAATTCAAATAACACATTCTACGCTGCATTGCTGTAACAGATACACTCACAGCCAGCCCAGTGATTCTTCATTTTCTATCATATTGTCATAATTTTTTAAAAGCTAAATAAAAACTGTGATACTATCTCTGATGCAAACTGAAAATTATTCAGAGATGTTCTCAGCTCATTTGAAGAGTGAGAATAGGTTGACTGAAACAAACAACTTGGTTTGAAGGCAGCTGAACAAGGATCTTAGCCTTTTAGAAAACGTTACTGCTCAAAGAGAAGAGCCTGAGAGAAGAGCCTACATTCTCCCAGAGAATATTTCCGTGACAGCAGCACCAACCTTGTACTATGTAGGGAGTGCTCTCCTCTCTGACCAGCGAACACATGGGCCGGGGCGTAGGGGCTGGTGGCCTGTTCATGATGAAGGACCTGCAGTGCTTCCTTTTCTCCTCCTTCTGCTCCTCCTGCCCCAGGATGAGGTCGTACACACGTTCATCCAGTGCCATACAAGTGTAGGGGTGCTCGTCCTCGCTGTCCTCCTCGCAGGTGCCTTGGTCTTCTCCGCCGCATGCGGCTGAGAGTCCATCACCCTGTTCTCTTCTACTCCTGCCCATCACAGAATTCCTCTCTGAAAAAGGAAGGAGGAGTGTTGCATATACAGGGTAAAGAGAGTAGATTATGATTTATCTTAAAGCTTTAGAGCTTCCTAAAGCAGCTCAGAGACCTCATTTCACTTCTAAACTAAAGCACTCTCATTTTCAAAGGCTTCTTATCATCTAGCTCAGTAGAGAGGATGTCCCAAATGAATAATCCCAACTTCAGGGCCTCCTCATGATTTCACATTGGATTATCAAATGTAGATGCTTAGCTATTAGCCACAAAATAAATGGATTTATTTACAGAAATACTGAGTGTCCCAGTTGCTCTCATGAGAGTTACACCAACAACTAAATAATTGTAATTGACATGCAACTTATGGTGAAGCCAAGTAAATGGTATCTGTGACCCTCAGCATTCTGGAAAGTCAAGCTGTTTGTTACCTGTTGTAAAAATGACTTAAGAATTGAAGCTTAATTTAGGAAATGTTGGATTTTGTTTCCTACCTCTTCAATATCCCACTGGGTTTTGAGGACTTACAGATCTACTGTAGGTCAATGTGAAAAAGAAATTGAAAAGCCCTTTCCAATGTAGGTAAAATGTACAACCTCTTACAATCTATGCTAGGACTATCCAACCCTTCTCCCTCCAAAAACTTCCACGTCTCTTTGTATTCTCTATATGTCATATATTTCATAGTACAACTATGAAAGCATAATTTGCTTTTCTCTAGTTTTTGCCTTTTACAACATTAAAAGGCATTGATGGTTTCCCCAATACCTGGGTTTGTTTTGATTTGTCTTAAAACATCCACAAACTGCTAAGAGTTAAAAGCTGTCACTGAGGCTGGTATTCCCTTAAATGTTTATAACTTCCTTGGCATGATTATCTGTCTCTCATACAAAAACAGTAGATCTGCCCGGAATTCTTGCACTGACTCATGTTTCCACTGTGTTGTAATTTACTGCCTGTACATATGTGTATCTGCTAAACTCGGCTGTGGTCACTACTGGTGTTTTCAATCCTTTGGTTGCTATTTAAAGATGTACCTGTTTATGGATTCAGAGGATCTAAACAACCTTTGTAAGTGGGATATATTTGATAATGGGGTGTATCAATATTAGTATGTACTATTAACATACATTCTGGCTAAGATACATGTTTTAAAACCACAAGTGGTTTTTATACACCTGCCACGTATAATATGAATAATATTTTGTTTCCAGGTCACTATGTAAGTTTTTTCTTTCTCTGTAGAATATTCTTGCAACTCCCACAGGGGGCACTCTCAGGCCACTGCCAAAAAACCACAGACTTGAAGAAGAGGGGACTTGCCTTCTAGGTACTCCAAAGCAACTCCTAAAGCAAGCAGCTGGTTGGAAATATGTAGCAGTAACCCATTACAGCTCCTCTTTGAAAGGAAGCATCATCCTCATCTAGAGGAATTCTGATACCCCACTCCCCAGTTATGAAATCATAGCTAAACACAAAATAATTCAGAGCACATTTTAAATTAACTATTCCCACAGGAGCATTTTTAGATGTACTCTGCTTTATCAGCACAGGAGTTGGCACAGGACACCAGGAAACTTTCTCTGTTTGTACCCACATGCAGACAGAGAGCATTTGGCAGAGAGGGTCACATTACTGTGGTGATGTAGCTATATAAAAACTATTCCAAGACAGGCATTTATAACAAACCTACACCAACAAATCCTGTGTGCCAAAACGGATCCCTCATTTATACACACATATAGATGCAGCTGAGTGTTTTGTGAATGTTAATTTTATTCTGCCCCTCCTTCTCTTAGAATTCACTTACGACTTTCTACCTATAGCCATTTCTTTCCTGCACAGCAGAACACAGGATAAAACCCTACCTATAGCAAACTATTTCTGCCTAATTATGTGAACATCAGAGTGCTTGGTGATGGTAATTTAAGACTCTAATAGGTTACACCAGGTTTGAAAACAGAGTTAACAGTAATAAGCTGTGGAGAAACTGAAAAGCAATTTGTGTGCACACTTACCAGCAGTGTCCATGACAAATAAGAAGGGAATTTTTTTCTCCCTATGCAACTATTTAAAACTGGTATTTAAGCTTGAATCATTTTGCATACTTGTTTAACCCAATGAGAAAAATTGATGGTCATCCCTCCTGAAACAGATGCAATAGTACTTTGAATTTCTCAACAGTTTAATCAAATCACAACACAAAATTTTTGACTTTTACTCTGGGGCAGATGTATTAAAAAAAGGCCAAAAAAGGCAAAGCATTTGTCAGAATTTCTGCATTTCTTTTCAATCTGTAATATAACTTTTTACTTCTAAGTAACTACAACATTTGCTAAAACGTAGTAAGATACTATTACTTCTCTCTGCATGGCCACTGTCTATGAATTCTACCTCTGAAACTTCAAGCTGCACATTAAATATAATATAATTAAATATTTGGATATTCAATCACGATAGCATTTAATGCTTGAAAATGGTAAATAATGAAGTCAACTTGAAAAAAAATACAGGCTTCATCTTTGTTTCAAGCCTCTCTTGTAAATGCAGTGCACCATGCACTATTTGGCAGCTCTTTGAGATAGGTAGAGTGAGGAAAAGCTGAACCCAGCAGCCCATACCACACTATTACCTGACAAACTTGGTCATGAGTATTTTGATGCAGCAAAGGTCACATGCACATGCTTGTTTTGCAGAATTAGGGCCTCATATGCACAAGCTTGCTTTGTAGCATTAGGGTTATCCTGCCCAGCTCCTGCTAGAAGTGATCAAACCAATCTGTACAGCACTACATTGTCTACCCTTGCACATGTTTGTATTCGGGGTTATTTTCCTCCCAACATTGTACCTTGTGATGAATTATGCAGATTGTCCTGTCTTTGGATGCCAGGCAGATTTCGAGGGAGAGGAGGGGGTGGCCTCTTGCAGAAAAAGCAATCTCTCCTGCTCTCTTTGAGCTCATCCCCTATGCTGGCATACAAATTTCCAGGACTGTTATGAAGGCTGTATGAATCCTCCTCTTCTTCATCTTCAGATTCTGTCTCCTCTCTGCTGTCTTTTAGGTCATCCTTCTTTTCCTCATCCACCTTGACTTCTTGTTGGCATCTTGATCCAACTGAATATTGATCTCTTGAGTTCGGGTTCGCTTTTAGTATTAAAGAAAGCATTATTTCATTTAAAAATTGCCATCAGGAAACATTTCTTGTTTCAAGGATTTCTACAGAAGCAACACAATGGCTAATAAAACTTTTATGAACTGATACAGCAGGAAAGCTGTCAAATTCATACCATCAGTGAAGAGCTTTTAAAATATTTACTAAATCAACAATGGAAGTTTTCATTCTATCTTGCTACTCTGATACACACCATCTTCGTGTGTGCAATGTTAAAACTTTTCTAGAGCAGCTGTCAGAATGAAATCACACACATTTTCCCTGCCTCCAGAATTTCTATTACCTGACTTTCAAAGCAGCACAGTGCAAACACTTTGCAGAATAAAGCCGTAGCTCACATATCTGTGTTACTGCTTTTTGTACAAGCAGTATACAAGGGATTTAGGTGCTAATTTGAACCTCTCTAAAATGAAATAGACATTGTCCATGTGAGACATGACTGTAGACTTGTGGAAACAGAGCTCTTCTGTCTCTAGTGACCCACAGACGAAGAACAAAGTGGAGAGACGTGAAAGTGCACATTTTAATCACAACATGAAGCATCAAAATTTTAGTAATCAACCTGAGTAATGTAACAGAGTAAATTACACAAGCTGTCAGCAAACTGACAACCCAAGCTACCAAGCCCTTGAGGTAGGTTTCCATTCTGAGTTATCCTTTGGTGATACTTGCCTTTCACCACTTTCAAATGGGAAGTTAGGGCATTTACCTGGCTAACGTGGTACAATTTGTGCTGTTTTTCCAGATGTTCACCCTGAGGTGTTCCCATATACAATGTGACAGAGACAATGAAAATTTTATCAGAGCAAACCTGTTTTTTCACAGTGTCTATCATCTACCTCTATGTGCTAAAGCAACCAGTTTGAACTTAGCAAGTAAGAAACATCCTTTTCATATGTATGAGACAGTTGAAAAAATAAAATTGTCAACAAGATAAAAAGAGGACTAAATTTAGTCTCATAGATCCATGATACTGTAAGAGATATGTGAAATATATGCCATTGGTAAATGCAAACAAGCAACTCTGCAGTTTTCAAGGGGAATGCATACGACCACACAGATACCAACACGCTTGTCACCAATCTATGCTTGGAAGTAGGAACATCAAGCTGCAAAATGTCAACTATCTGTGCCTCCACACAGGACTTGACTGCACCTCTGGGCAGTGCCTCCCCTTTTATGAAGATTCTTCTCTGAGAGCTTGGAGAATTCAGCAGTTTTCTAGGTTCAGAGGGGAGATCACAAATTTCCAGAGTTTAAAAGGAGGGGTGGTTGCACTGAGGTCCCTCTTACTGAGCAAAAAACTTTATTATCCCAACTGAATCCATCAACTGCCTTCTCATTTTAGAACCTCTGCCCTCCCTGGAAGTTGCAGTAAGGTGGAAATTGAAAGTGTTAGAATAACTTGCCATCTCTGCCCATGAACTCATTCACTTGATACAGCACATGATACCTTCATTTGATCAGTACCAACAAAGCTGTCATGTTAACATGACTTACCCATGGCTGGTGGAGTTTTTGAGCCTAACATAGGCTCATAGGTGTGGCTGTCTTCCACTTCCTCCTTGCAATTAGTGAAATCACTTGCTGCATAATTCTAGAAAGAAAAACAGAGTATTTGTTTTAGTAGCATCATCTCCTGCCTTCACATTTTGCTGCTGATATAATAGACAGCACTCTGCTAGGAGGAAAGTGAAGACAGAAACATCATGCATTTGCAGCTGTATAGTGGTATACACACTGCAGGCAAAAGGACTGTGTATTTTTGGATACAGTGAAATGACACAATGTTCTGACACCAAACACCAAGTTTGCACAGCAAGGATTTAAGCTCATTGACCTGTCCCTAGCACTTTGCTGGGCTGTCTAGACAGTTCCCAACTCTGTTCCCAACTGTGAAGCAGTCAAAGATTAAGAGAAAGATCAGCAAGAGAATAACATGAAGTCCATAGGGCATGACCCTTCGAAGAGCTCAAGGGTGCAAGAAATCTCTGGGGAGCTCGTTACAAACAGTGGTTTGTACCAAAAGCCACGTGTGTGCTGAAAAACCAGAAATGGGATTGCAAAGCATGTTTGGTGTTCTGCCTCAGTGACCAAATGTGGCAGAGTGATGTTGTGTTCCTCTAGAAAGCTGTTCGCACAGTGCTATGCAAAATTAACCCAAGGAGGGTCAGAACAATCGGCTCTCTAAAGCATTCTCAGTGTATTTCCTCAAGCTGAAGAGGTGCAAACTTCTGCTCACCAGTGAAAAGCAAACCTGTAACACAACTACAGACAGTTCTGCTATCAAGAATATAAAACACACATTTGTTAATTGCTGATTTTCAGAAACAACTGGAATTTCAAAAAGTGTCAGTTTTCTTAAAGAAACCCAGCAGAACCTTGGTTCTTATGTAAGTGTGATACGAAACTATCCTCTACAGGAACCCTCAATAATTAATCAGGAGTTTTGAATCACAAAATGTTAACTCCAGGGATTTGAATACAACAACCCCAAAGTAGGTAGGGAAACAGCAGGGTCCATATATCATTGTCTCGGTTTGAAAGACAGGTATGGTCTAAGGAAAGGCAAGCGCCCCTTTTCTGCGATGCAGAGTGCAACCCCCCTCCCTTTTAATTATTTTAGGTCCAATTCAGACGCCTTCAGGCAGGAGATATGGGGATAAGAATAACAGTTCTTTACTGGTATCTAACAAGGCAGAAAACAACAACAGGTATAAAAATTGGCAACAGAACAGAACAGTCTAGCTCCGCTCCAGTCCCTTTTGGCCGCAGGCCGTCTCCCTGCACTCAGTTACCGGTGCTGTGGGGGCAGGGCAGGTCCCGCACAGTTGAAGAGGGGCTGGAGTGATGGCGGCAGCGGCCCAGGAGTGAGAGGGGATGGGAAAGTGACTCCCTTCATGGTGTCAGTCGTGGTGCTCAGCAGGGTGTCCGGAGATAGTAGGGTGAGATGGGAGAGCAGCAGAGCGATGTCCAAAGGCAGGGAGCGTGGATCTCAGTGCTGGGATGGCAGGGGAGATGCCAGAGCGGAGCCCCGGGCTGTTCTCCCACTCCACGAGCCAAGCGAGAGAGAGTCCCCCGCTCCAGACCCCCGTCCCACCTTTCCTTTTCCGGTTCCACCCCCCCCCTCCACCCACCCCCCTACGAGGGAACATTATCTGTCGTTTCAAGGTGTAGCCACAACTACTTAGCATAACAATGGGAGGAATTCCACAGAAAGAAAAGGGGAGCAATCCAACCCCCAACAATCATCCAGACTGCAAGATCAATTACAAGTAGAATAGTGGAGAGTGAAGTCAAAAGGAAGAACTGATAAGCAGTTACACCTTTCTGCATGGTACAGAAAATGATTCTCAGGAGCTCATGCTGGACTATCAAGAACTTTGTTCCAAGTATCCTGCTGCCTCCTGCACCCACAGTCACTGCCCAGGAACAGAGTTCTCACTGCATGAAAGAGGAAAATATTTTGAGAAATAGCAGTTTTTTTCTAGGGAACCGAGAATGCCTTCTTCCCTGCTGCTGTTTTATATAGCCATCTCCTGAATACCAGTCTGAAGACACCGCAACCACCGAACTGTGCAACAGGTGCCTCCCTGGCTTGCTTTGCTGCTTTAGAAACACACCTGGATTTTTACACAGATATAGTCACCCCCAACAACAGAGGATTCGTCTCTGCCTCCTGTGTCCATATAATGTGTGCATCAGAAAGAGAATCTTGTTTTTCTTGAACTTCCCTCTTATTTATGTAGTTCCTTTATGCTTCATAGGAACAGGATACCTCTCAAAAACCCCAAAGTTAGGGCTTTTCAGAGTATTTATTTTCAAAAGATTTAGGCTTGCATGTGCTAAATGCAAGCATACATTGTGGGAGTAAAAAAGGACTTTGATTTGTTTCCTGTGAAGAGAAAATGTGTGTAGAAGCAATCAAGCACGGAGAGCTCTAGATATATTAAGTTCTTCTGCTATGACACTGGAGTACCACACCCAGGAAATTCTTTCAAGGTGAAATTTGCATGTTTCAGAAGACTGAAAGTCATCTGTCCTGCAAATTTATAGCTGCTCCACTGATAGTGCTGAGTCGTAGGGAATTCAGATGCAATTCAGAAGTTTAGTCCCTGACTACACTTTCTAAAAGTCTCCTGGACCTCTGAGACACAAAAAAGCTGAACAGATGGAAACAGTCTTTAACTAAATATGTTTACACTAGAAAAAAATTCTGTATAATGAATAAATTATTGACAGAAGTCTCCTCTGACACTGGGCATGTTGACACCGTGCAGCTGAAAATTGTGCAGTGTCCCCAAAGGCAGTGGAAAGTGTCCTTATTCAAGAATGCAAAGCAACATAACTAAATTGGAATAATGCCATGGCTCAGCTTGCAAACCTTGCCATGATGCCCTGAATGAATGCCTACTGCTTTTTAAGTCTGAAGTGTCTTCTATATGGGCTAGGTCATGTAACCTGAATGTATAGCATAGCTAAACTTCCAAGTCATTTGAGCCTGTTTGGCTGAAAATGGATCTTTGATTTACTCTAGAGATTTCTTATGGTTGTCAAGCCACCTTCCAAAGGAAGAGGAAGAACTAGCTTAATTGGAAAATTGGAAACCACCATTAGAAAAAAAAAAGAAAAAAAGAAAAAAAAAGTTGTTGCTCTCATTACAAAACTGCTCACAACAGGCTATGGAAAAGGGCTCTGAATGTTCAAAACTAATTTTTGAGTTAGCAAAATAATTTCCTTACCTCAGGATGCAACAGGAATGCTGGCATGCATTGAAAGCCCTCTGAGAGACTGAAATTGTTTCAAGTACTAAGATTAAATGCCACCTCTCAACATCAAAAATGTATATACCTAATTTTCTTTCACTTATGTATTTTAACTGTCTTGATTAACTGACTTTCAAAAAGGTGAAGTTTTTTAATAGCTTCAAAGCTGTTCCTCTTATACAAAGCCTGAACTGATTTATCTCAGTACCTTACTCAGGAATTCATTAAGAAAATTATTATAACCATCTTGTCAGCATTTTTTACAATGCTTTTCTGAAGAGCCATCTTTCTAAGGCACATTTTTGAAAGATTTTCTCCTTGTTAAACTGAGACAGAGTCATGCATGCTGGCAATGGCTGACACCACTGAAATGAGGTACATTTACCCTATTGTATAGTGAGGAGTGAAACAGTAAAGAATTCAGAAGAATCTAACCCAACATTGATGTTGTATCAAGTTATGGCAAGAGTGAGAAGCATCTGGACATCAGCACTTCATTTATAAACAGTTACTCACATGTAAATACATCAAGCACAACTCACATTAGTCTTTATGTATAAGATACAAATGGATATATCTAAAATATATCCATAACTTGTATTTCTAGAAACAAAGTAAGAACTTCTGATTTGTGTAGGGCAATTTGATCTTCTGGATTCTAGGGCATTTCCAGCTGCCTGTTGGATAGAATTCAGGCTTGCAGGTAGACATCCCAAAAATACCCTCCAGTCACACTAAGGCCTGTTCTTCCAAGGCTGAGGCAAATCTGGTTACCTGATTTGTTTATAACATGTCACCACAACGCTCCTTCTTATCCCACTCCCAACATTCAAAGTTTGCAGTTCTGCCAAGAGACGTGCTGCTCATTTGTCTGTCTCCCACTACTCTGTAGCTGAGCATTTCAGAGCAGAGGACAACCAAGCCACAGCTGTCTTACAGGCACAGTTTTAGGCATCCTCTTCTGACTATTAAGCAACAAGATAACATTGCCAGTCACTGCCAGTGACCTGCAGTTAAACCTGTGTTTATCACCAGGAAACACCAATTTTTACCATGTGACTTCCTTGAGGTGGCACCAGCCTGAAAGATTCCAGCAGCTGCCCTCTCCCTCTGCTGATCATGAGCCCTGGTCCTCCTGCGATTTTGAGAAACAAGTTGTCAAATGCTGGTTAAAGCTACCACAGTCCATATGGGCTTGCTAGAAAGGTTGCAACAGCATGTGGAGCCCAGATTCAAGCACTGCTTTGAGAAGTATCTTATACCAACTAAGCAGGTATATGGATGTCTATGTCTTTGGAGTCAGGGCATCCTAAAGAAAATAAGTATTTTCTCTAAATATCATTAGAGAAGAAAACTAAGAGGACATGGTCTCATTTACACGTTTTCTTTCAGCACTTTTTATTTATTTTTTTCTTTTCAATACACATCTCAAGGAAGCAAACAGTCCTTTCTGAAAAGTAACATCAACAGCTTTGAAACTCTAGAAGTTGATGTGAACTGCAAACACTTCAAAATTTCATGTAACTATATTAAGAGTGTGCTCACTTATAAATCACTATACTGGATCATGGACTTAGAAGGTTTTTGAAAAATCTTTCTATAATTTAAATTGCTAATAGGGTACTGAATAGTACTAGAACCACGATGACAACAATTAATAAGCCTTTCCATTTTCACAATGAATTGTTGAAAAATACCCTTATAAAAACATTTCTTATTACTTCTGATTTCTTGTTAGCTCCATTTCATTTTATGCCTTGGTCTTTCTCACAGTATTCTTAAGTGTCTATGCTACAATTCTATCTTGACCCTAGTAACCTCATATAGCTTCTACTTCCTGTGGATTTCCT